AGATCTGAGCAGAAGCTCAGTGCTGATGCTGAAGTCTGTGCATATGTAATTCTCTCCCTGAGCCAGTGCTTTTCAGAAGGATGTTAAGAGGTTTTGAGTGAGAACCCTCTAACAGGCAAAGTCTTAATGAGGTTGGTGAGTAGAGAAGAGTTTTTGCAATGTGAAGATAGGTACTTGACTGAAGAAGAGCACTTAGAGGAAACAGGACTAGGAGATACCACCTCTGTGGAAGCCTAACAGGTAGAGGCTTTGCCTCACAGTTCTGCCGTCTGTAAAAGGGTACCATAAATGTTGCTGCTAAGAAGCAGATGAGACTGCCATCTTCCCCTTCTCACTTCTGTGATGGTCTTTCTCACAATGTTTTCTAAAGCCCCAATGCCAAGTGCATCCCTTAATTTTAACCCTTGTGTGGGACAGCAAGCCCACTTCTGTCTTTTTCTTTATTCTAAGTTAGCCCATTATTTCACCCACTGTGAAAGGATACCACAAGGCAAACTGCTTTCAAAGAACTGCTAGTTTTATTTTCCAACCAAAAGCGCACATTTGTCTCTTGGTCATGTGACGCAGGAATATTCATGATTATGGGGGAAACCAAGGTGTCTTTCATGGACTGGACAGTTTCCAGGTTGTTAGTTATCAGTGCCAATAAATACAGCTATTTTGACACCTAGACCACACATTCTCACCATGCTCCACTAGTCAACAGGAGAGTTTGAACTGAAGATCCCCAACTCTGCCCAGCTCCAAGTCCACACACACAGTCCACAAGTTAAGAACCATTTTCTATTCTTATGTAGCAGTACTAAAATCTGTTGGATACATGATACATGATAAATCACAAGGCATCACAGTGAACAAAAGTATAGTCAATCTACATGAAGGATATAACATTTCCTAAAAGGCATATAATGATTTTTATTTCAACATTAGTATTAACCTAGTCGGACTTATAAGCCCATCCCCAGCTCCTCTCCAAGTAACAGTACCTAATTTCTGATTAGGAAAGAAGAGAACCAGTGGGTTTTGTTGATTTTCAGTCTTCATATCCTTAATCTTGGTATAACGCAGTATAGCAAATGTAAACGTGCCAGAAAGAGGATTGCTCTTTTAGTTACCTTTTACATACTCCTTAGAAATGATTCACAGTCTCTCAGCATCCCTACATCATAGCACTGAAGCTGATTCCCTGCTGCATTTGACATTGTCAAACACAGCTTGGTTATGAGCCAGCTCTGCCAATGAAACCAAACCAGAAAAATGTTATGGTTTCTTCTGATCAATAGTTTCTTTCTAGTAGGAGTCCTAAAGATTACCTTCTGTCTTATGAGTAGCCAAGTTTCTTTGCTTAGGTACAATTTGGTACCATTTAAAAAATAAATGTCATGAAAAAGAGACTTCTGAATCTTACTTTCTGAGCCTCTCTTCATTTTCTCGCCAGAGATGTTGCAAGGATACAACTACCATTGGAATCTCTTCTTTTTTCTCTTTTAAAATGAGATTAATTTAGAGTTAACAGTATTTTTGATTTTTTTATTCGTTATGTTCTACGTTGGTAGCTTGATATATAAGCTAAAAACATCTAGATTGCTAGAGTGCTTTATTTGACTTCCAGTGACAGCTTGCTTTGGCACAGCAGCCTAGGAGTGTCTATATCAGTTCTGTCTGCCAGTAACACTTGTAAACCCACTGCTCATACTAGGCCCAAGCAGGACCTTAAAAGAGATATCCCCTGATCAAAGAATGGTTACAAACAAAAGCAGATGCAAGTCAGTATTTTGTCCTTGGGCACTGCTCACTTCCTTCTACATCAGAAAGGAGCTAGTCGTACCAAGTCAGCAATTTAAATAATAGTATAAGTGAATTGTTTTATGGCAGAAAAACGCTGCCAATCTCTTAATCTCATGACAGACATTTCTATCAGGCTTTACTGCTGTGGCACTGCTAGCAGTGTACAGCTGATATGCTGCTTTTGAAATGAGGTCACAAAAATGTCATCATTGAATCACCTAATACTGTGTATTTTTTATTTTGTCTTCTTGGAACCACTGCTTTTTATTTAACAAAATATTTGTTCTTGAGAGCCAAACAGGCTCTGGACACCTGGAGAGCCTCAATTTGAGGCTTCTTACATTCAGTGACATAAAAGGTTGAAATGAACAAGTCACGTGATGTATTGACCTGGCCTTTTTTTTTTAAATGGCACAGCAAAGAAAAGGCTTCTGCATACATGGAACCTGTTTCTAGAGCCTGCTAATTGTAAGAGACACAACTGTGATAGAATTTCCTTTCATGCTTGGTGCTGTGTGAACCAGTCTTGATTAAGGAGTGAGAGAGGGAGAGCAGCTGTCCTACCTTTTGTGCAGGTAATTATAAACTTGAGTATTAAGGAGGATATTCTGCCAACACCATGGGCCAGAACAGTGATTACTAACTGTGTTACAATCAAAATCCAAATCTATGCTTATTTGTAAAGCGAGAACATACATATATAACAACACAACTGACTCTGAGGGTATCATTTGACGTATAGCAGAAAATAATAGCCCTGGAAAACATGGTCTGGTGGACCTCAAATCAAAGATTAATATGATAGGATTAAAAAGCAAACTGAACCAAAACAAAAACCACAACATCTGTAGTATGTACAAACAGTGGTGGAATTATTCCAGCATAATAGGGATACACAAGTTACAAAGCTTTGCTCCCATTACTTGGCCCAGATATGTTACTTGTAATGCTTCATTAGTGTTGCATCACTAGAGAAGACCAGTCTGGCAGTTCTGACTGACCCATCAATCCCCTTTTAGGCAGCTCACCTTCTCACCCAATCCTTTTTGCCTCTGTTTTTCTTTGAATCCAGGCAGGCATTTGTAGGAAGAAGATGCGGTGCTGCATCACAGTTCTGAGGTTTTATGTTTGATGGTCCTTAAGTATCCCTGAATTAGAGTTGCATCTGCCCACTAGGGACAACTTTTTTTTACAGGATGGTGCAACTACCTGGGTAGCTGTGTGACTGCCACTTAAAGCTATAAATTTTTCTTAGTTCTGTTTATCCTCTTACTAGTTACAAAATTGTGCATCAGAGTCATATTTCTTCCAGCATCATTAGGTGTATTGCAGCCTTCAGTTACTAATTACCCCAGATTTGAGCCAGTAAAACAGGTGACTCCAGCAGGGATTTTTGAAAATTGTGGTTTTGAGAGGAACCTGTGATAGACCATGGTTTCTTCTTCTGTGGCAGGTTATGTCATTAAGCCTGTGTAATCAAGGAGGGATAAACTACATTCCGCAATATTTTATACATTTTTTTGTGTGCAAACAGTGGGAGTTGAGTAGTAGCACACCTAGAATGATGGAAGGGCCAAGGCCTTACAAGCCGGAATTAAAACCATTGTATGTCCAGGATGATAGATTGATTGCATTTTCATGGAAATGGCTTAGCCCTCTTAACACAAACCAGCCATTAAACCACTGGGAGAGACAGCTGACACTGGGCAGACCTTCCAGCACAGCAGTCTCAAGATGTATATGTCAGTTCACAAATGATCATGGTATAAGGGACAAGTCAATCCCAAACTGGCTTACTGTACATCACCTGCATTTTAAAGTGAAAGTGCAAGTGGTAATGTAACCTGTTCCATGCTTGTCCTGGACTGCATCCCCGGTGGCTCTTCTATGTGGCATAGAACACATGTGTGGCATCTCTTTGGGGGAGAATGGCTTGTACGTAGCCAATAGTGTGTCTGATAATTTACTTACTGCAACTGCCTCTCTCCATCTGTCACTTTTGTAGTGAATCATCAAGGAAGACACAGGGTTAAAATGAGCAATCTGCCGAAAGCTTTTGGTCTTTTGCAAACAGCACAGCATTATGTATACTGTAGAACAGCATTTCCTGCATACTTCCAAAATCTCTTCCAAAGTAACCTCCTCTTTTCAGAGAGTCTATCACTGAGGGATTACAGCAAGCCAGGAGAACAGAAATGTTTAAGTTCTTGTAGTCTTTCAGGATTTCCTTGAGAGTAGTAACTCCAGTGGTGTCCAGAAATGAGATGGAAGAGCAATCTACAACAAGGGCTTGGAAATCGATTTGCTTAGGAACTAGTTGCAAAGTGGTTTCTCTGGTGCCCAGCCCATTAGCAGTTCTGTGATTTCCCTTTTTCAGATGCTGTTTTTCTTTCTTCTCGTATTTCTTCCTTCTAGCAGCTTCTAGGTTAGGATCTAAGTTGGTCAGTCTGTACAGAGACTTTAGGAAGTAGTTTCTATTTGCATAGTAGAGCGGGGCCTCAAAACGGAATATTTTGACCTTTGGAACAGTAGAGAGATTTTCATATTCTAAGTCATCCTCATAGAAACTTGTGTCTTGAATCTGGCCAAGCAGGGTTGTCCGTGGCCGCTGTGTCTGACCAATGATGCATAGCATGGAGAAAACAATGCCAACCAACAGCCCTATTTCTGTGCTGATCAAGGCAGAGGCAGACATGGTAACCACCCAAACAAGTGTGTCCACCTTATTCATATGGTACCGGGCTGGCACATCTCGGAACTTCCTCAGGGCTCCTCGGAGGCTGACAATGATAATACAAGCCAGGACACACTTCTGCAAGGAGTAGAAGAGAGGTGCCAGGAAGAGCAGCACCAGCAAAACTACCATTGCACTAATTACTCCAGAGACTTGAGTTTGACAGCCTGTAGATGTTTTGACGAGTGTTTTTGCCAGAGCTGCACTGGTTGCAAAGGAGTGGAAGAAAGAAGGAATGATGTTGCAGAACCCCACAGCAAACATTTCCTGATTGGCTCGAATGGTGTAAGAGTATTTCTTTGCAAACATTTCAGAAAGGGATACAGTGAAGACAAAACTGACTATGGCAAGAGGCAAAGCATCTACAGCAACTCGGAGCATTAAGTTGAACTGTGGTACCTTTGGGGGAATAAATCCTGTTGGAATAGCTCCAGAAACACTGGATGCATACACTTCATTTAACTTCCCATAGTGTGACACTAGTGTTGCCACAACAATAACTACCAGCTCTGTGGGAAGAGGAAATTTCAGTTTGTGCTTATACCGATCTCCCAGTTCCTTAGCAGTGACCAGCACCGTGATAGAAATGGCACTTGTGATGACATCACAAAGGTTAGCCTGAGAAATGTTACGGAAAATGTTAATCCAGGTAATAACAAGCATCCCATGTCCTTGGCTACGTGGAATTTTTATTCCAACCAGATACTTCACTTGAGCTGTTAAAATGGTTAAGGAAGCACCAGTTGCAAAGCCATCTAGTACCGACTCAGATAGGTACATTGATACAAAACCCAGACGGAATATCCCCATTAGAACCTGAGGAAACACAGAAAAAGAAAAAAAAGATGAGCCATAAATGTTGCTCCAAATAATTATGTACAGATGGGAGAGAACTAGCTGAAGGCCAATAGCATTTGGCTATTTAAATCTTAGAAGAGGAATTATCCTTTGTGGTTTCCAGTCTGCTTTTAAAACACATGATTGCTCTTACTGTTGTGGGATGCTACAAACCCAAGAGGTGAATGGGGAGTTTGAGACAGGGTCAGTCAAACATTGGTCTGAAGTGACTCCACTGAACTGACTTGTCTGAATTTTCTTTCCCATGCAAAATAGCAAAATACTTCTGTTATACCAAAGCAAATTTTCTTTTTTTCTGTCTGAAATTGAATAAAGTTAATACATCAGGTCTTTGCGTTGTAAACAGAACTTGAATTACTGCAGATATGGATCGCTACATTAGCTGTTGTATTGAACAGCTTTTAATTTTAGCCCTGTGATCAGAAGGGAAAGTGGAACACAGCCTTTGTGGCATGCTTAAGGTCAGAAGTGGCAGAAGAGCTCACAAACTTTCCCACATCTCAGGATACTGTCCTTAACTAGTTACTTCTCCATCCTTTGATGACTTTGGAAAATACAGCTTCCCAAGGGCATTTTGTTGTTTATAAATGTGAAGTTTCTTAGTGAACAGGAAGATAGCTATTCCTTTCTTAATTCATATGTATTTATATATATAACTAATAGGTAAGCAAAGAAGCTTTAGGAACTTCATACCTTGCCTCTGGGTGTCATCAAACACTTACCTGATACACTCCAGCCACAAATGTCAAGGCTGTAGCAATGCCAATAGCGTAGCATTCCTTCCCACACTCAGCGTTTATCCCTGCAATTGTAAGGTTGAAGGCAGTTGTGTTGGACAGACTGTCATTCTGCAGCGAGCCATCACCCAAAGCTGGTGGGGCATCATCATTCAAGTCAAATCCAGCCAAGAGAAGTTCTCTGTCTACAACTTGTCCTACCATTAAGCTTATCAAACTGAAAATGCCAACTGAGACATGCCGGGATGTGCCCATTAAGAAATAGATGATGTTGGCGAAGAACGATGTGTAAAGACTATAAATGGGCTTCAGACCTGCTAGTAGTGAGTATGCAATTGCTTGAGGCACCAAAATGATCCCAATCACTAACCCAGACATAACATCTCCCCAAATGTACTCTTTGCACTGGTACTTGGGAAGCCATCGTAAAACAGGAAGGAAGTCCATAACAAAGTTCTTCAGCTTCTGTGGGGTGCAGGTGCAACTCTTTCTCAGCTTAGCTAGCATGACTTCTTTCCTATTAATCTTGACATGAGTCTTTCTTTCCATGAGAAAGCAGGAAGAGGTGCTGTTTTCCATTCTGGTACCCTCAAGTGATCTTTCCATTGTTGCAGTGTTTACTTCATGTATTTCTTCCTGCAATGTGAGGAAAATGTTGCAATTAATTACTTTTTTTAGCAGGGGTGCTTAACACTAAAAATTTGTCATTTGATTGTACTTTTCAGGGAGCATTATCCCAACAAGAACACTGTCACAGGGCTCCAGTGACACACAACACTAAGAAGTAAATCTGCAGATTGAGCCCTTTCTTGCATACATTAATGAGTACATTTGATTGCATCCAGTTTATTTTACTAAGGAAAAATGGAGTTAAATTTGTCGTTTCTTTGTATGACAGATTTCCATCATCTCTTCCAAATGCTCCATCCTAAATGTGTCTGTGAGCAGAGGGAGCACTTGATGGTGTGAAATAGACATGTACTAATGAGGAAGGTTACAGTCTTTCTAATTGTAGTCATTAGTTTGTGACTCACATAGGGTATAGTGATCTGTTACTACAGCTGTCATCAATGCACAGGAGAAAAAATTTCCTAGTAGAACCTGTAAAGCAGTTTTCTGGAGGCCAACAGTTTAGTCTTATGCAAAAATTCGTACATAAACCCTTGATGGACTCTTTGTAGGTGCTACGTAATTTGAATTTGTTGAATTGTGGATTATTTCGATGTGCAGCTTCCGTTGATAGGCATCTCCTCACAGATAACCACTTTGGCAGCATATGGACCCTGTATCGTGGTGGAATTTGTTACCATGTCAGAAGAGTGCTGCATGTTAGTATTTTCAGATTTAAACCCATAGTTACTGTAGCTTTGCTGTTCTGGTAATAAGACATAACAAATAATGCTGTGGACAGGAGAATAAACACAGCAGTGTTTCCTAGGGTTCCCTGCATGTCAGTGTTCTGATACATGACTGGGAATATTTGTATTCCCCAGGTGGGGTGCTTTTGGTGTCTCTTACTTCAGTGGACACAGCTGTTTTCACCAAGCTCAATATCTACTTTTTTTTGAATTGTCAAATTAAGTTGAAATTAGCTTAATGCATCCATAAATCATTTGAGAGTAGGTGGGAACATGTCTTAGAGGCAAAACATGCAAGTTCCCTAACTTACTCAGTTAAAAAAGTAAAAAGAGGAGTAGACTGGTGGAAAATGTCAAGTAGACTATGCCAAGTGGCAAATCTTGTCTTCTGGTTTGCAGTGGAAAAAAAGAAGAGACTTCCAAGAGTGGGTGCCCATATATGAGTAATGTAGTGGGAGATAAGGAATGACTCATACTGACCTAGATGAAGATAATGAGTGGCTTGTACTATCCTATGAAGAATCTCTAGGAAGTCAGAACTTCTCTACTCCCAGCCTCTCCCAGTGTCATAAACAGCCAGGATCTCTGCAACAGAGCTTCTTGGTGCAAGGAGTGACATTGCAATATTGTCAAAGCATGTCTTCACTTACAAGTCAAAGCTGTTTCTTTCCTCTTTCAATGTCTAGAGACAGAAGTTGTACTCATCGGTTTCCTAAAACCTGAAGTACACTCACTGGCACAGTATTCTATTGGTCTATTAAAATGATTTTAACAGTTAATAGTAAATTTAGACTCCAGTGACAGAAATGTTCGTTCCCTGTGTAAATTTCATACATTTTTGTTGTTGTTAACAAGAGTGGGGTTTTTTTTAAATATTTGTTAACACCCAGCTAAACTGTAGAATTCCAAGCTGAGAAGAAAACAAAGGGTTTATGAATCCAACTGGAAGCATAATGAATAAGCAATAGAGTAGATTATCAATAGCCTGGCAGCTTTCAAGCTGCAGCAGTCCAGATAGAGAATTATGTACTAGAAAGTCTTTTGTCTATCCTGCTTGGATTTGTTTTCAAGATTTTAACATTCACCTTTGAAAGCAGACTGAAAATAATAAGATATGTATCTGTAAATAGTGTAGATGTCTTAGACAAGTTCCCAAGTATTACTGTAAATGATACAGTGTGATTTCTAAGGCCATGCAAAGTTTAACCACCACTTGAAGCAGGATATTTAAGTGTTATAGGATATGTAGTTTATAATTTGGAAGAAGGCAGATAAGAGATTCTTGTTAGAGATGTGTGGACTGATTGTCCAAGGTGAAAAGGAAATGCCTAGTAGTCTAAATATACTGTTAAATATCAGTAGATTCCTATCCATCCCAATTACATGAAACCATTTTTAGCTCCCACTGTATAAATTTCTTTATGTTTGCAAGTAAGGTTTGTTTTAATAATGAGGGAACACTAATCACAATTTAATTTAATTATTTAGAAAGATTAATGCCTGTTTTTTATCAATGCCAAATTTACTTTAGACCCAGATGTTCTGCATGGTTATGCTAGGCAAGATCTGCTTGGACAGGAAACAGGTTGGATCTAGTCTCCGTTAGACTGCAGAGGTGAGGGAAAAGATAAAAGAAGTTACAACACCAAGAGAAATACTTAAGAGCATATGGATAAAGTTTACAAAATACAGAATGCTAACAAGCATAATAAAGACATCCATTTTTAAGATGCAAAAACCCAGTACTTCCTGTCTTACCTAAATTAGCTGGGAGAATGAAAGGCTTGTGTGTGAGGACAGCAAGTCCTTATTCAAATGCCACTCACTTCTTACAGCCAAGTGAATTCAGACAGCCAAGAAATAAGTACCATGACCTTGTTCTACATACTTAAAAGCTAGTGGGCTGTTCAATATCCAATGAGTGCTTATTATAGGCTGCATAAAAAAGATTGCATCAGCTTCTGTACACTAGGCTCATACATTTAATTGCACGATTGCCATTTGCCTTTTCTCTAAACTCATAAAATTTACTTGCAAGTAATTTGGGATTTACGAAAAAACCCATTAAATTTCACACATGTATTGTTGGTGCAGCTTCCTGTGGGGTGATAGTAATTTTCAATACGTAAGATTATTGGAATATAATTTATCTAGAAATCTGTTAGATCTTTTCTATATGTCTTAGCTATCCTGCCTTAATGGATAATCAGAGCAAGTAACTTTTTGTAAAAACCAAGCAAGCAAAAGACCAAAATATAGCTAGTACAATAAAGCATGTGTCTTCTGCCTTCAAGCAAGCAGGCAGGAGGTCATTTTCTTCAATTCATTTTTCTTATGAAAATAAGGGTTTCCTTCCTGCAAATAACTGTTTATTCTGCTATATTTATTTTCTGATTCCATGTCAAAAGAACATGATAGCTGTAAACCACTCAGCTCTAGAACTAGGTTGGCTTTCATAAACTGTTACTATGTTTTGATGTTGCTTCATAGTTTCCTTGTTGCTTCAGACCATAGTAAAGCCCCACAGAATAATGGAAGGGACATTGTTAGCAGCAGCCCATTTTTCAGCTGTGTAAGCCAAGAATTGTCAGGCTGTGATGCCTGTAGCGCAGTCATAGCTGAGTTGCTTCACGTGAAGGAAATGAAATTCCACCATAGCTGTGTGCTGTCCCCTGTACTTTTGTGCAGCCTAGCAAAGCTTGGAGCTTCCAATGTTCTTGCCATCTGCAGAGACAGGGTGGTGGAGAGGATATCTGTCTGCTCCTGTGCACTTGTGTACGCTCTGGCCTTCAGATTCTGGCACTGAGATACAACACCATCCTTCCAAAGCGGTAATACTTGAGCAATATGCAGGAGCCCTAGGGGTGTTAGTAAATGGATTGCTTTAGTCGTTCACCAAACTGACCCATTTTCATCTTAGGCCATACTGAGTGGTTCATAAGAAGGGGACAACCCCTATTTCAGTCTCCCTCTTCCCCTCCAGAGCTTCCCAGAACACAATGTTTGCATTTTATTCAAGTGAAGTCTTTCCATCACTTGCGGAAAAAGCTGTTCTTAGCAGGGATGTGCAGATGAAGCATAGAACATGTTAGTCCATTACATGTGACTGTGGCATGGGAACATCCTCAACTGTTTAATACAAGTGAGAGTTTACTTGTGTGCCCATTCATGTACATATGTAACATCCATACAATTACAATGAAAAGTAGTCCGGGTTATTTTTAATTGTATTTTGATGTTTGGAATCTTTACAGTTAACTTTTTTTAAGTTATCTTTGACTACATGAGCAAAATTGACCAGAACCACTGTCTGAACCACTCATTCTTTCAGGTTAATTGCAGGGTCTCATCTTATCTTGTGAAAAAGAGAAAGAAGCAAAGAACCATTCAAGCCAAACAAGCTGCTGACTTTCCAACTGGCTTTAGTCCCACCTTTCTTCTTGTCTTTTCACTATGCCAGTGACCTGACTAAATCTCTCTGCAGGGGAGAAACATTCATCACAATATATTCCGTGGGATTTCTCCTTGCAGATTCCTTGGCAAATAGTTTCTGCTGGTATATGTATAACCATTCAGACTGGATGAGCTGTTCTTCGTGAAACAGCCCAACTCCAAAGATCATTATTCTTTTGTCTTTGTGTCCTGATTGTCATTCAGAAAGCCTGAAGCTGTATCTCTAGAAAGCCCAAGAGGGAGTAGACAGGGTGAGCCTGCCTCTCTGTGCTAAGGAGATCTCTTAAATGCTGTATTTAGGACAAAAGTCAGACAGTATCACAACTCTGTACTAGTATTGCTTACTCTTACTGAAATAGTGAGTGTAAGTTAGGATAGAGCCCTTTAAAGAGTTTGAGCCAAGTGATGTTTGCAGCTTTCCATATGTTTAAACTATGAAAAATCAGCTAAAAACTGATGTGGTTAGAGCAGGTTTTGTATTTATAAATTGAAGTTTCATTGTATTTTTGTTGCATAAATCGCATAAAAACATGAAGGAAAGTTTAGTTAAGTATTTGATTCAAAACACTGGCAGGTGTTGAGTTAAACTGTTCATGTCACTCATCTTTTGTATCAGAAATTTTTGTGTCTTTAAGAAACCTGTCTTGGTCTCTAATGGCGACTTTAGAGTTCTGATTTGGAGCATTGACACAGTTTTGAAAAAAATCTCTTGTTAGCCTGACTTATGGTGCATAGATTCAATGTACAGAGACATGTTATGCTTGCAAACAAGACTTTTTTCAGAGTAAGGTGCCT